CTGCCATATAACTTTAGTTTAAAATTTTCTTCCTCTGTCTGTCTGGAGAGTTGAATTCACCATTAGATTCACTGCCTGGAGCTCGGCTTGTGCTCACTCTTTAGTCACAGATGCACTTTATGTCGGAGATGAGTTTAATGGCAGCATTAAACATCCGTAGCCTCAGGTGCTGAATGCAGATGACTGCGCCGTTTCTGTCAGGTGGAAAGAAGGAGTGACAAATGAGGGTGATCATTCTCTTATAGCCGTGCTATACGGTTGTACTTCTCTTGCGCAGGCATAGATGTCTGCATTGCACACATGAGCACAGCCATACGCACAAATTGGATTCCCCCATAAACGTGTTCGCCGGTGTCAGTAATGTTTAATGATGAAAAATTTGGCAGGGGAGACCGAGTGCTTTTCTAAATGTGCCTCAGTGTTTAAGTGTCCCTTGCAATTATCGTCCGTGAGACAGTGTCCTTTTTTTTATTGATGACTGACGAAGTCGCAGTCCAGTGTTTCTTACTGCTGCTAAAGATAACACACCTGAATCCCCTGCGGTTTATTTGACATGCAGTCATTATTCATCAACTGAATATTATGTAAACCTAGAGTTGGAAATATGCATATAGGTACGTGTGTTTCTCGCTCTGCGTGTGTTGTTTATTGCCAGTGTGCGTGTTCAGGTGTCAGCACCAAGAGCCAACAGCCTTGTAATAAAACACTGGTAAAATATTGAAAGTCATAAAAAGGCAGATAATTGGCTTTTTCAGGTTGGGTGAAATGGATCACTTCTAACACTGCAGTTGAAAAATGGCTGCTGAGAGGAGTGAGTCAGATGGATGGAGAGCACAGTGGAAGTTAGAGAATGAGTAGAAAAACCAGATATATATAGAAAAGTACAAAAAAAAAAAGAAATGAAGAGAAGAGAGAGGAAAATACATGTCCTCAAAAAGAATAAAAAGATTAAAGAGTGTTGCACACTTTTAGAGAAAATTGGGGCACGAGAAAAAGAAAACATTTCTTTAATTTCTTTCTTTTTTCTCTAATATATTTTTTAGAAAAACCTTCAAAAGAAAGACTACTTTAACTGCGCTTGGACCTCCTGAAGTAGTACCAGATTCTACCACTAGCTGGTGTAGTAGAACATACGCATCTGTCAATTCAAAATAGGACTTTGTATAATCTCTTAATTGCTTACTCTCACTGAGTCCTATTCCCAGCAATCACATGCTTTGCAGATGTGCGGTGTGTGTATTTGTGGTTGTGTGCATGTATTTGTGGTTGTGTAAGAGAGAAAGACACAGAGAGAGAGAGAGAGAAAGAGAGTTATAGAAACCGTGAAATAGAGTGAGAGTGTCTGGCTACCAGCTCATGACAGTGAAAAGACAGATGACCCTGAGTGGAGGAACGGCCTCCCTGCCTGTATAGCATCTATCATCACTGAACAGACTTGTCTTCTACTGTTTGCTGCACTTCCCTTTGTGTGAGTGTGTACGTGCTCGCATGTGCGGGGTAATTACCCACAGATGAAACTCATGCTTAGCTGGAAAATAACTTGTCTTCCCTGTAACTACAGACCACAAAAATCACATGCATGGATGCACATGCACCCACAGATTCGCAGAACATAACGCCGATTCGCTTAAAACTCCTGGAGGGAATTTCAACCAAGAATCAAGTCTTTGAGATATCTATGATGTGCAGGTTTTGGCCCCCAACATGAAGATGAGTCACCATATTTCACCAGTTTATTTTTCCCCACACAGCAGCTGTTATGCAAGTGTGCTCATATAGTGCAAAAAAAGCATGTTCTCCTTTACCAAAGCTACTGTGCTGTCATTATAGATCAACCACCGGTTTTAAAGTTTTGTCGTTCTCTTAATGAATTTGTACAGATCAAAATTCGTCCGTCCGTCAGTACCACCGGCAAATACAGTCACAAAATAAGGGTGAAAAAACTTACAAGTTTGAAAATTTGAGTCTAAAAAGTATGGGATTTTGAAATGTAAAATTTGTAGGAATGTCAGAGAAGGAAGTCGCTACATTAATTCTGAAACACTTTTATTGAAGATATGTGGTTTTAAAACCTTTTACTGACTGAAATCTGAAGTGTGTTGGTCATTGTACTCAACATCCTCTAACTTGACACCCTAAAATAAAATCTGTTTTCAGACCCAGCAAAGAGAACAACTTCATATTTAGATTCAAAACCTTCCACAAAAAACCGAGCTTTACAAATTTTGAAGTCTTAAAAGAGATTAATATATGTAGAGATCTATATGTTTTAACTATTCAGTTGAAGAATAACAACAAACCATCCTTGCTATGTTGCGTACAATGTAACTCATAAATGTTTAAACAGTTATTATGTGAGTAAAACCTGATATGTGAGAAAAAAGTGACATTTTAGGAGCTGTTGTCTACTTTAAGTATTTTACTATGCTGCAATAAAATTATTATTAATTTCAGGGCAGTAATTAATAAGAATTAAAAAAAAATCTGAGTTTTCTTTCTTGTCTTTTTTTACAGTCCCCCCCATGTAAATAACAACACTGAGATGGCTAACAAAAAGTGTCATGAAATAGCTGAATTTTTTTTACCAGGAGAATTTAAAGTGCCATCTATAGAAAAATAAATCAAACTTCAAAACCTTGTAAAAGTCAGACAAAGGGTAAATGTGTTACCCTCTGAGAAACATACACATGCAGTAAAACAAAATACAAAACCCTTTGACAGAAAGGGGGGAAAAAAGACTTTGTTTTTGCACTCTGCTATTTGACGCGGCGCTCAGAGAGAATAACCGACTGATCTTTTGTCATTTATTTTTGCTCAACTCATCCCTCTTGAATAGCATGTGGGGCAACTGAGAAAAAAACATGCCGATAGTTCACCTTATCCAGAGATGTCAAACAGAATCAAAACACTACAAACATTACAGTTTTAGAGTGGGGACAAAAACACCCACAGCCTCTTGACAGACACCGTTCACCTGTCCTCAAAAGGCTGCCTGTTTCCTCGACATTTGTCTGAGCGGCTCAGCAGAATCCCCAGAGGGCTACCTGAAGCTTTGATACCGCATCAACTCAGTGGAGTGGTTGTCACAGAGAGAGGGGGTGGGGATCGAATGGGCTAAGGGGAAGTTAAAGAGTTGGTAGACAAGGGCTGAGGACAAGGGTTGGGTGGGGCTTGCTTTGGGAGGAGTTGCAGATTTAAAGAAAAAGGAGACGTTATGACTTCGACTTACTAAAAGTAAGTCGAAACAGTTGCATCTTTTCAAAATATGCAGTTCCGAATTATTTTGGGTTATTGATATTTTTGCGATATTGTCTTCTTTTGGTCTGAAAATTGAGTTTCCAGCAAAATTTATTGTCCGACTTAACACTCTACCGCTGTTTATTTGGTCATTTTTCTGGAAGAATGAGACAGAAGGCCTCTCATCTCCTCTCACCCTCCTCTAAATGGCCATCAGTCAAAGCGAACATGCTCGCCTCATGATGAAGAGCTCCACGTGCTACTGACTGCCTCTTTTACTGCAATCACTCCCTCTCCATCCTCTCTTGTTATGCAGAGTATGAACTCAGAAGGTGTCTGTGTGCTTTTTCAGACAAGAGGTGGTATTTCACAGCTCACCTTTTCAAAATGTCATAAAAAAGTGAAGATATGTATGCTGATGTCAAAGTATCACAATTTAGCTGGGAGTTGTTAATGCATAAATTAAGGTCACTTCAGCATATTAAATTGTTTTATTTAACCAGTTTCTTGATGTCAGGAGTGACATGCATGTGGGGAAAAAAGTATCATGAAATGTACACAGTCAGATGCTTTTCTTAAGTCTCCATTTGGATGTTTTAAAAAATTAAGTTCAGTTCTTTTCAATGAAGCAGCTGACTAAAATCCGCTTAACACATCTGTGTATCTGTCTTTTGTTTCAATGCTATAGTAAGATGATTCATAGGAAAATAGCACTCTCATCATCTTTCTACGAATTTGTCAAAGTATGATACACAATTTGATCACCAAAACCTCTAGGGATGCACAGATTTATTGGCACCGATTTCCCTAATTTGGGCAAATTGGAGATCAGCCGAGTTTTACGTAAGAAGTCAATCTTAACCACAGATTTTATCTACTGTGGCAAACTGTCATCTTCTTCTGCTCTGCTGTGAGAGAGGTTTGACCGGCCCATCAGATCAGGTCTGTGTTTGCAGTTAACAATAGTCATCTCACTGTTGGAAACTCATCAATTTTTTTGCTACAATAGTAACGTTTTAGACAAAAACATTGGTGTCTGTCAAAATCAGAGATGGTCAAGATTTTTAATAGATGGGTAATCGGTGATCGGCCAGAAAACTTCAATCGATGCGTCCCTATGAACCACATGAACAGTGAAGAAAAATCCAAAGCTGGAATTCGAATCCAACAACTTCTCTGCTGTGGTGGCTCGCAATCTTCCAAGAAATCAACTCAGGAAACCCAACTAATTTTCACACCGTGTTTTTCAAATGGCATGGTTAATTAAAACGGTAGTTAAGATGAGTCTTTTGTCATAAAGTGAATGAAATGAATTAAGCTAAAAAATGTTATTGCTTTGTAGAGAGTATTTGGAGGTTCACTTCTTATCAAGTTTTATAAATGTGCCTTTTTTAGAGAGATCTTTGGACTATCTGTACACCTTGTATCTAAAGTTTCTTGTGTACATCTCTTCTGCTGAGAGAGCTCATTGAACGCACACACAGGCACACCCACGCGCACAGACGTGCTCACACAATTGGACGATGTCTCTGCCTTTTTCACTGGTCACGCGCGATATCACACAGGGTTTTTGGAATTACTTGGATACCACAAAACAGCTGGTATCGCCACATTACCGTAGAATGTATCATCTACGCTATCGGTGCTCACCAATGGCAGCAAGGACAGCAGCAGGGAGAGCTGAAGCCAGGTCAATGATCCTGTTTTCACGCTGGTTCATGCTATTATTACTTTTTTTTTACTTCTCTTTGCCTCTTCTCCAGGGAACTCAGTCGACCAACCAGTCTGCTGCCCACTGAATGTAGCATGGGGCCTGGTTTAGGGAAGGATGACGACCCTCTACCACCGGGGCTGGAGAGCCTTCCGCTCAGAATGATGCAGCAGGAATGCACAGCGGTCAAAACCCTGCTTTTAAGACTGAGAAGAACATTGCAGGAGGTGGGTGATGTATTTTCACACAGCACCAAGCATATGGACACATTTGATGTGGATTTGATCTGTTTTACTGATGGGAAACAAAGCTTTCCGAACCGACCTGGCCCTCCGTGAACAAAGTAATTTTCCCCTAATTTAAATAACCGGTGGCCTTGATTGGTATCAAGCATTTGTGCTCACAAAACATACGTCTCTGAAGCTATTGTGGAGGAATGTTGGACAAATATTTGTAGAATTTAGTAAGTTCAGTCTCAGTAGAGGACCTTTGAAAATGAAGTGCCTTTTTATGGTTGTTCCACACTATCCCATCTGTATTTAATGTCAGACTTTGTGTAGTCATATTTTGGTTTTTCTTTTAGTCATTCAGACATAGACGTGATGGCCAGACATTTTTCCTCAGATTTTTCTGTAAGGCAGTGATATTCATAGATCCATGAACTGCAGCAAGTTGTCCTGGTTCTGAAGCAACAAAACAGGCCCAAATCATCACACCACTACTTCCATGTTTGACTGTCAGAATGATGTATGTTAACCCAATTTTGCCTCGTCAGTTAACAGAATAAGTCCACAAAAGTCTTTGGCATGACCAGAATGTTTTTTTCTTTCTATGTCATATATAAAATCAGTCTTTGAGTTCTTTATGGTTAGTTGTTTCGATAAATTTTTCCACAAATGCATTTTTCCCCCAGCCCCTTTCCTTTTGTTAAATTCTGACCACAGATCTTAACCAAAGCAAGTGATTCTTGCAGTTCTTTCTTTCTGATTTTTCTGCCTGCCTCATGTTCTCAGACAACCTATTGTTAAGTGATTGCTTGAGCCTGTGGGTCAAACAACTGAATAATGAAATTGTTAACCAAAAAAAAAAAAAAAGATTCTGAAAATTTATGACTAAACAGACGAGTTCTTTCCCTTTTCATAGTGGGGAAGGTTGGACAGCCATTACTTAAATAGTTTAAGAAATTAAACCACTTACAAAATGTGCTTTACTTAGGTTATCATTGTCTGTTGATAAAAGTTGTTCGATAGTCTTGAACAACTATTGTGTCAAAATCTTTAGGAATCCTTGAATTTCTCCACATTTATTTTTGCTGCTTTGTTTTTGTGTTTTACATAAAACCACCAATGAAATACATTGAATACTATTTTTGTGACATGAGAAAATGTGAAAAATTTACCTTGGACTGATTAGGTTCTAAAAGCATCACATTATTTTTTCACTGGCATAAATTTATTTCAAAAGTATTACTCTCAGTTGTTTATGTCTTGATTAATCAGCTTTATTAAATGTCATAAAAGTGTATTCCTTATCATTTTTACATTGCCTCTTTGATCTCTTTCTTGTATTTCAGAAGATGCACCTATAATGTCTTTAAATGTCTGCCATAATACAGTTTCTGTGTTCTCAAGCATGCAGGAAATGCATGCATAAATCATTCACTTACAGACTATAACTTTGCTCCTTAAATTTCTCTTTCAAGCTTTAGTTTTACCTCAGGCAATGAAACCATTTGATTATGAATCTTTGAAATTCTGTAAAATCACCTTCAAATTACTATAGAGTTGATTGATGGTAATGGTCACTTAGTAAAGCATTGACACGTTACAATAGTGTAGTTTTGCAAGGTTTAACTATGCAGACCATATGTTTGTATTAACTGCCTAGTTATTCAGCCTCGTGAGTCTTTAAATGGTTGGAGAAAAAAAATGTATGGTTTATATTTTTTAAAAACTATTTGTTTTTTGAGGATTTTAATTGTAGTTATGCACCACTATCAGTTATGCAGTGAAATAAGTGATTAATATGGTTTAAGTTTTGCATTTTTGCCCAAACCATGCCTGAGGAAAATCTGACTTTTTATGTGAAGTAAGAGACAAAAATTGATTATATTTCTGGCTGTGGGTTTATTAGTAGTAATTTGAAATCAAACAAGCAACAAATAATAGGTTGCATCATAGTTGAATCAATTTAAGTCACAATCACACTACAGACTGATTCTCCTTTGTAAGAAAAGAAAACATAACTGAGAGAACCATATAATTATTATTTTTCTTTTATGATGTAGCTGTTTTTCCACAAAAACAGAATTGATTGTGCAGCTTATGCAGATAATTTATTTATTTCACATTTCATACATATCACCAGATTTTAATAATAACACAACATTGCATGTTTCCTTGGCTCAGGTCTGTCTCACACATCACATCACAAATACAGAGAGGAGACTCTCTGTCACTGCAAAGGTTTTAAAAACATTTGCAGAAGTCTTGTGGAAAGCAGATTATGGTTAAATATTTTCAACATACACATATATTTGTTGAATATATTGTTTTGTGACCTAATGCCTTTTTGTCATTTAACTAAATCACGAAAAAGCGCATTTTAGTGTGGTAAAACAGTTTCTGGTTGTCTTGCTTCTTTTCACAAAAATGTACTTTTTGTTACATTTTTGCAAATGTAACAAAAAGTACATTTGCACTTTTTGTTATCTTTATTCCTGACTATTTTGGTGAATCAAAGTGAGACGTTTGCCACATGCTATTTTGTACATGACATATGTCCTGTTATATAAGCTTACAGGTCTCTTTGTACCTACTTTGACAGCCAATGATTTGAAGTTATAAGCTATAATCTACTCATATCTTCTCCGTTGCGATGGGGTTATGTGCCACCCATAATGCAAGCTTGCTTACAGGTATTTTGGTCTGCATAAGGGTTCAAAATCTGGTATATTTCTTTAAAGCCAGTTGACTCAAACAGTGATTATACCTGCAATGTAATTGTTAGGTGTTACACATGTTCAGAAAAATAAATGCAATTTATATTAAAGGAAGTTTTGAGCAAAGCAGTTTTTCTTATATTCTTTAAAAGGAGCATCCTTTTTCTTATATTATTGCAACATTTCACAAATAGAAATACAGTAACTTTGGTAATTCCAGCCGACCTAAAACAAGAGACATTTGGACTCATTTAATTTCAGACAGTGAGATGTGCGTCTTCTCTTCAGTGGATGTACAGTTCTGGTTTCAACTGTAACTTCCAGGTTGGTATGATAAATAGGAATCTTATCGTATTATCTTAATTAAAAAAGGTTAGATTAAAAAAGACAGGAAATAGTAAGTTACTCTGCATAAAAATGTTTATAAATTGGTGCAATTCAGTTGGTTGGGCTGTTTAAGCTTTATCTGGGTGTGACATGGTACAGGAAAAAAATGAAGGAGCAACTTGGTCCAGAACCTGGGAAAATCCTTTAAAAAAAAACTACAAAAAACAAACATACAAAAAAAAAGAAAACACTTCAATACCTCTATAATCTTCTAAAGATCAAAGCGAGCAGCTAATGTCAGCCCACGGAGGCATATGTACGGCTTTCTCCTGATCTGTTTGCTGTTCATAGCTCTGTTTTGTCTCCATGGGCCACAGAGACGGCGCAAGAGAAACACGAAATAGTAATTTATAGAGTGACATAAACTAAAGGGATGATGAAGTTGCAGAAGAGAAAAGGGGTGCACAGCAGCAGAACATAAATATGAAAGAGGAGACACTTTGCCCTCTTTGGTTTCTTTGTTGCATCATTAACTTGCAAATTATCTTGCTGTCACGGTCTTTGGGTTTTAATGTGTGTGTTTTGGTTTGGTATTCTTGCTGTATTTCTATAGTATGGTTGTTGTTTTTTCAGTGTTGCCTTCTTCTTTCCCTGCACACCTGGTGTTAGTTTTCTAAGCATCACACCTGCATTGTGTAGGTGTTTCAGCTTCTCTGGCATAAATAAGGTGTGTTGGAAACATCTAGAATTTTAATATGTGCTAGGTTTTAAAATGAGTCAGTCACTTAGGGTTAGCGTATATTGTTTTGTCCACTAGAAATTAAAATTTTTTGGAAAATTACTGAGAAGATGTTGTGCTAAGACTTGGCTATATGTCTTAGTACATATGTCGCTGCACATATTTTATGTATCATTCTTTATTCCATGGATGAAATCTAACTCTGGAATATTCCAGAGCAACAAGTTGTTCACCAGGTGAGGAAAGGGAACATGAGGATACTGTTAGAACTATGAACAGACCAAGAAGGGTTACAAGCATTTCAGATCTGTATTGTATGGTTGATGACAAGAAAGAGATGGTAAGTAAACGGGGTTTTATCCTGGATTAGAAATTTCAACTGGCCTTTATTAAAACTGATTGGTTTCTTTGAAAGTTACAAATTGGTGGAAAATCTAACGAAAGAAGAATAATTTTTACCTTTATCACATTGTAAAGTATTTTATTTTAAACCTACAAAGTACTATTTTCTTTGGCAATATAACTTGTGATAGTAGGCTGCAGTCCTATTGCTCCTTCCTGAATAGTTTTCTGAAATGTTAGTGCTCAGCTTGTGTCTGTGCTATAATATTCTGTCAGATCCTGCTATTTCATTGCTTGCAGTGTTTTCTTGATGAAGCATGGCTTGTGTTTAAAAATCTGGTCTTCCAGTGATTGAACACTGAAAATTGTCTGATGTTTTAGTTCTTCACTCCTTTGTGGATTGTATCAATTGTTTTCATTTATTTTATGTGTTTGATGGAATATTTTTGATCAGTTGAATCTGTAGCTATTTGTACAGCTTCATTAAAAGCCACAGCATTATCAGGGTAAGAAAGAGCAGATTTTAAATACTGTAACATCTATTATGTATTACAATAAACCCAAATTGTGCCATGATATTAATTGTAAGCTATGTCATTCTAATTGACAACGCTTGCTGTTGCTAGTGTTAGCATGCTAACACATACAGGTAATCAGCTCAGTGTTATGCCAGAGTTTAATAACTCATTAGTTTGTACTAGAGACATGGCAAAATCTAAATTCTAAAATAAATATGGGAATTTTGAAAGAAATTATATATAAAAAAACAAAAAATCATGTCAGGATCTGAGCTCTTGCAAAGTATCAGCAGACATAATCAGTACAATTAATGATGTCACAAAAATGACTACAGGCCTGATATCGCTGAACCTCTTGGTATTCCTAGTGTTTACTTTGCACATTTGGCCAGCCATTCTCCGTCTGCTCCTAAATTATTTCTCTTTCAGCAGTTTATCCTCTTGGCTGCACAGAGGGAACATTTCTAAACTGCTGCTGTCTCGTGTGTGCGTAAAAGCAGCCTCACACAATGATCCCCATTTGTCAATGTCAGCCATGGTTTCTAACTAAAGTGTGATGTACCATTTGTTACAGTACATAGTCACAGCTCTTCCGGACATTCTTCTGAACCCCTACATACCTGTTCCAAGTCTGTTGTTTGACTCTAACCCCTACAGAATTGCTTGACTTTTTCTGTAATTGCAGGAACAAGTTTGTTGCATTCAGGTTCCAGTGCTTTCTGAAAATTCCTGGACAATCTGGGAAGTCTAGTTTATAGAGTTATTTGACAAAGTATAAGGATCATGCTAAGAAAATTGAAAAAATGAAAATAAAATTCTGTGAATTAAGTCAAAATATGAGAATAAAAGTATAAAGCTTAAATAATAAGAGAATAAAGTTGTATCACAAGAATAAAACTGTATTATGAGAATAAAGCCATTATATAACTTTAATCTCATAATTTTATCAATCCCAGGGTTGATTTAGATAAGGATTGCTGAAAAAAAAAGCATTTTATCCATTCAATCATCTAACCACCCTCTGCAGTGTCTCATTAAATCCTGTCCACTATTTGTAGTAAATTTGTACTCTTACTGTTATTCTTTAAGAAAATAGAAATAATAATAAAAATACTGGCAATTTTGGAACGTGAGCCCAGAAAGTATGAAGTTTTGACATGTGTGAGTTGTGTACATAATGTGTTGAAGTTTCTGTGGACTCCTAGAGCTAAATAGTGTGCGGTACGGTGCGAAAAGAACCAAAAACCAGCACCGTGCTGGAGAAAGGCTCACTAATAAGCAGAGTATTTCCAGCCTAGTCTTTCTACCATGTTGACCCAGGAACTGTGATAACCCTGATATTTTGAAAATGGCGCTGTTGTCCTATAAAAGCCCTAAAGTCAATTAGAGGGAGTGAAAATGAATGTCCCTTCTCTTATTTAAAGGCTTTCACTTCTTGATTTAGGAGACGTGAGTGTGTGATCAAAGGTGTGCATCTAACTACAAAACCTGCTTTTCTTTCTGAAGCCATTCATCATCTGTAGACATTCAGTTTCAGTGTAGTGCAAGTCATTAAATTCATGGCTCCCCAGCAGCCAATTCTTAAATCTGAGAGGCTTTTTACTGAGCCACATCTAATTGTAGGGACAGTTGTGTGTTGAGGGCTGTGGGACAGAGGTGACCTCACAGAGGATGTGTTTGTGTTGGAGAAGGAAGGAAGGAGGGATGCTGTGTCTGTGGGTGTAGTTGTCAGTGAGTTCACGGCTGTCTCTCTATGTAGGGAAAAGCATTGATCACAGATGACACATTGATGGCCTGGCGCCATAGCACACCTATAATTCTGATCGGGAGGTGTGTGTCTTTAAAAGGTCAGCCAAACCAATAAAACATCAAGTTTTTACCCTGCAAGGTTTGGACTCCAATGTTTCTCCCAACTTATTTTAAGTAGGTCAAAGCACTATATTATCAGGGATTTGGCTGAAAAAGTATGTTTTTCCAGTGTAATCTCCCACCAAACGACATACAGTATTAATCTGAGAAGGGTCAAAATGTGGCTAGAAATAAAACATTCATAAATTTGTTAAGAGTCTCTCATGGATGCCATTTTTGCCTGTCTCTTGCTCCACGCCTCCTGCTTTATTTTTGTTTCATCCCACTGACTGCATTAAATGACCACACACAGGCCAGGCATATTTATGATTTATGAAGATTTTGGGTTGCTTTTCTGTTTAAATGATGACATTTTTAGGCATGATGTGTGTGTTTCAGAAGAAATGGTGTAGAAAGGACAGATTGTTTTTGGTAAAAAATATTTTTACGTGACTGACACCTTAGAAACTTTTAAACGGATGTGTACCTTACAATCAGTCTGTTGAACTTTGCATGCATAAAAGAAACTTGAGTAGACTGTTCATCAAAATGTTCCCTAGCTCAGAGATCTAAATCCTCTCAGCTCAAGTCCTTCATGCTACAATTAACCTTCAGAAGTAATGGTTACACATAAGTTATTCAGTGAATGCATGTGTCCTTCAGTCTGCATGTCCATCCATTGCCTGCATTGGTCATATGTGTGTGTATGAGTGTGTTTGACTTTGCTGTCTGCCCAGTTTTTGCTTGTGTTGTTGTTTGCTGCCAAAATGCATATGATCACACTTGACGTTAGAAACCCGAATATGAAAGAAAACCGGTGAAATAACAGAAAGAACAAAAGCCATGTTGCCTACCTTGACGTTTTGCTGAATCAATAGAGACTCCAGCTGAGATCAGTAGAACTCATGTAAAATTGTCTGTCACATATTTGGGGAAACAGTTATAGCATAGAGATTCATGCTTCAGATAAAGAATTTCTCCTATATGGTTTAACAACAAAACAAATTTCAAAGAGTGCTAAATAATTCAGAACGCTCCACTTTCTTCACACAATAAAGCATAAATCGAGAGTAAAATTTATGAAGATTTCTTCACGTGATAATTTTGATGCCTTTCTGATGCTTTTGTGAATGTTTTTGCAGAGCACAGAGACGAGTCCAGCCAGCAGCCTTCAGTCCCTACCCATCAGTCCTTGCAGTGAGAAGTCTCTTCCATTAAAGGTAATCACCATTTTATCCTGTTTCTGCGTTATGCCTGTGTAGGTCATATTTTTATTAATTGTCTTGGTAAACATCCATGACAATGAGAATATAAGTAATAGATTTTGGTGGTGCTGTTTGGAGCAGGCACTGCAGAGCCAGTGGCTCATTCATTTAGGCAGATGAATTGATGATTGATATCCAACTTCAAACAGGAGACGACACGCATAGATTCAGACTGCGTGGTCACTGCATAGCACAGGCTAATAAAGTGTTATTTATAAACCCTGGACTCCACTGGTCACACTTAAAGTACAATGAGACACATCAAGTCAGTGCTTTATAGCTCCGCTGATTGACTTAATCTGTTGTTTTTGTCTATAACAGCTCCTTTGATAACACATAATTTACCCTCATGCCTCATTCATTAGTTGCAGCACTCAGTGACTTATACGGTGGCTTACTGTATACAGGAGAGAGAACAACACAGGAATAGCACTTTTAGTTTTAGTGCAATAGCTATTTGGGGCCATGTGGAGTTAGATTGATAGTCAAAAAGATTGAATTTAAATTTTATTTAGTCTCTTATTTTCATCACAGGTTCCACAAAATATTTAGGAAAAGATGCTGATCATGGATCGGTCATCTATAACAATTGGCAGTGCTGCATTGTTATATTTTGCTCCATATTTTGCTATTCCATTTTTTTAACAATGACAAGTGTATGACTTGTAAAACTGTATTGTAAGCTGTCAACTCTACTTCAATGATCAAACAAATCTGCTTTTCAATACAGACACCTTCTTACCCTTTACAGTGAGGTTTGCATGACCGTGTTGGGGACTGGCTGTAGCTCACTGTGCGTGTCTGCGCTCAGCTGCAGGTCTTCCCCTCAAAGAGCACACAGCTGTCCATGCATGGCAGGGGTTTGCAACCTGCGGCTCTGGAGCCACATGTGGCTTTTTTGGCCCTCTATGCAAACTCTTACACACTTTGGCCAAAATCTATGTCAAACTGAGCAGTGTTTTAGATAGAAATGAAATAAAAAGGCTTATTTTAGCAGTTTTTCTGGGAATTGTCATGCAGTATTTGCAAAAAACTTTCTTAACCAAAAGATGCTGGAATTACACAGTAATATCTTCCTTATAGACATGGAATACTGTATATAAGAAAATATATTCTGTCAATTTTTGTGAAAGTTTGATGTTTCACTTTTTTCAAAAACTAAAGAACTAAAATAAAATGATGGCTCCTTAACCACAAAAACCGTATTTAAATGCTAAGCATTTATACATTTCAGTTTTTTCTTTACAAAGAGTCATGCAGTTTATTATTTATTTTGCAGGAACCATCACAAAAATGGATCTTTAGATTGTAAATGTTGCTAAGACAAAAGTAATTTCTGAAAAACCCTAAAATGTAAAAAACCTGAAAACCAAAAATATTAACATGCAATAGTCAAGGTATTTGTGTTTGAAACACAACTTTTAACAAACAATATCTTTAGAAAATGGAAGTTTTTGCCACTACAATAAATGGGATAAATCAAATTATACAATATAATAGAGATGAATCCAGATAATAGATGAGATAAGACAATAAGAGGACAATGAAGCAGACTGAACAGATGTTTGCTTTAAAGCATAAACTCTCAGCTGCCCTCAGGTCCTCAGGGAGGCTGTTCAACAGGGCCGTAGTAGAAAATAATTGTTTTGATTTTCACTTTAGGTTTCTGCAGAAGCTTCGTAGGATCAGCGCATATCTAATAAAAAGTGTAAATCAAGACCATTAAGAGTTTTATGACTTAAAAGCATTTAATGCTAATCAGAGAAACCTACAGTAATTTCCTAAATGGTCAGATAATTGATACAGACTGTGCAGTTTTTATGGTCAAAAGTGTGTGATGTGGACTCACTTTCCATCTCTTGTCAATATTTATTGCTGCTGAATTTCAATAAATAAATGCATTTTTTATTCTTTTTTAGGAGAGCAGAACATTTCAGTAATCAATTTAAAATGTAATGAAATTACAAATTATGTGAATGTATTTAAAATGAACTTTAACCTATCTTAGAAGCTGTGAGGTCTGTAAGAGAGATGGTTAGACATAATACAGAGTTATGTCACTAATATTTATAAAAATTATTACAATATCTCCCGATCGCAACACACAAGAGTAGCAAATAAAAACACTGAGATAAGGCATGTACAATAATTTAGTGGTTTTGTATCCATATCAAGCCAATTTTTTTTTGCTTCTTCTCGATGAATTAGTTTTCAGTGTTGCTCATCACATGTGTCTCCCTGCAGTTATGACCCGTCCAGAGTGTATTCTACTTCTCTTTTAGGAGAAGCTCTAGCTCCATGTGACCCTTAAAAGTCAAAGCAGGTAGAGAAAATTGATACATGAATGGATTTTTATTCAAACAAGGCACAAGCTCAGTTCTTGTTTTAAAAAAAACAAAACAAAAAAAACCCCACAGATCAAACCACACGCGCACTGATGCCTAAAATACTCTGGTCCAGCTTGTTTAGTTAAAAGAGCCCAGAAAAGAGCACAGCAGTCTGTCTGTGATCAAAAAATATAAAACTGAACCCTCCTTTGATCTGTGCGTCGTCTTCAATTTTAGCCTTATCATTGCAATTAATAGCCTTTTTTCCACATCAGCTCCTGCTGAATTATGAAGAGATCAAATAGGAAGAAAGAGATTGGTGGGGTAAGGCATGCAGTGTCACTGCAAGAGCAAAATGAAGAAGAGGATGGCAAAAAGACAAAGATGAAAAGCGAGTGGAGTAGGGGTGAACTGAATGAGAGAGGGGCAAACTGCCTTACTTGCCTCGACAGGCTGCAGACCCCCTCTGTCAACCAAGTTCATCACAGCCATGTGATCTGAATAAAATTTATTAATCTCTGCAGGGAGCAGATGTGTGGGTAGCTGCTGAACTGCCTGCATGTGTGTGAGTGTGTTAGCAGGGTTTAAATCTACCCTGAGAGGGCTTTTGGCAAGCTTTTCTCTGACATATACCCTAGTTAGATCGCTGCAGACTTCTTGTTGGGGTGTCACATGGGAGAGTCAAGTCCCTAGTCTGTGATACTTGTGATCGTGTTTTTTTGTAACACTTTATACGCAATCTCATACTGTACAGTCAGAAAGTGCACACACCGCTAGTGAGGAGAAGACTGTGGCTTTCTTTCCAGTGTCCTTCTGCTCAAAGTCTGCACGGGTCCATATCCATATCCCGATGTGTGTTTTAACTGGAACTTCTATACTGAATTTTACATTATCGCTCTGTATTTGAGTATGTGTCTGTGTCAGTGAGAGAAAAAGATAGTATGCATTACTGGCCTCCTTACTGACCTACATGAAGTATCGGTGGCAGCTAGATGATAAGGAAAAATTAAAAATGTAGGCTGGGACACAGCTTGAAGACGGCCTCTATGGTTTAAACCTTCTGTGAATATTTGTAATAGGTGGACAGAATGACAAGTAGGATCAGGATAATGATTTTACTAAACTGTCCAACCCTCTCTTAAAATCATTAATCATTAAAAGGCCGCACCACCATAAATGAGTGATGTTGAAACTTGTTGCCATGGTGTCCAAGATCATCAGGTTGAGAGCAAAAACAATTTTATTGTGAATGTTTAGAATTAGTGCGGAAAGGTGTCACATTTGGCAGCAATAAGGTCCTCAGTTCAAATCCCATCCTCGGGTTTTTTGTCAAAATGCGTGGATTCCCTCGGGGTTTTCCAACTTCCGCCCAGAGTTTGAAAAAAAATAAAAAATGCACACATAAAATCTAAAAAAAATAAACTTTAAATATTTGGTTTTAACATGACAAGATGGAAGAATAAGCAGGTTTAGCTCATGGATGAATGGGTGGATGAAACTAAAACAGACACAAGGCAGAATGTGAATGACAAAACCCGGCACATCAAAAAGAAAAGCTCACAAACTGAATTCTGAATGATACACTGCTGGACAGGACAGGTTAAGAAAAAATAAAAAAAGGTCACATACAATAATACTTTATTGAATCACCTTTAGCTGTGATTACAGCACACATTTTGCTGTGGCATTGTTCTGATAAGCTTCTACAGAAGCAAACTGGATACAGTTTCTGCTGAGAACTTGTGGAGATCATGGGAAAATTCTCATCCCAAATATTCTCCATGGACTTCCAGGTGGCCAGTCGATGTGTGAAGATGACATTTCACGTTTCTTGAACCACTGTCTCTCAGTTTCAGAACAATGAATGATAATATCGGGATCTTAGAATATTTTTGTGTCATCAGGGAAGAAGTAAGGAGCTGACGGGACAACTTGATCATTTAGCGTCACCACATATAGCTAGCTCTCTTGTTGCCCTGATGCACCCATCGCTCTGGAAGACGAGTCCAGGGTAATTCTGGACTCATCAGACCACATGACCTCCTTCCATTGAGCCAGAGTCCAGTCTTTATTCTTCCTATTGAACTCAAGCCCTTTATTTCAGGTTAGCCTCACTACTCTGTGGTTTTAATCCAGCTTCACGGTTGTTTATTCCCATCCCTTTAGATTTGCATGAATTTTGTGTCTTAATTTATCTGCTGAACATATTTGTTTGTTCTGCTGTTGTTTTTGTTGGTTTAATTTTAACCTAACGTTTAAGTTTTTTTTTGTCCCTGATGCAATGTCAATTATTTGACCAAATTTACATAACCCAAGAATATCTTTAAACGTGGTTATTTAATGAGCATCTACATACTACTTGAGTTGGGGATAAATAATTTGTTGCCAGATGAAAAGCAACCATCCATGCTGTAATTATCCAATGGGAGGCTCTTATTGATTTGCCTTGTTAAATCCAGGTGGTGATCTTATTTGAACAAGCAGTTGATCTTTCTAATGGATGTATTTAATGTCTGTTTTCAAAGTCAAAGTGATTAAAACATATGGTGTTCTGATTATTCTTTTATGTGCCATTTTACTATGAGGAGCCAGTAACAAAGTACTGCTGAATAGGAAATCATAAACTGT